AGCCGCCATTGGTGCTGCCCCACCTGTGGAACCTGGTGCTTTGGGACATGGGGTGGGGAGGACAGAGGTTGCTGCCAGGGGACAGAGCATCTTGGTGCTGCCCTGTAGCAAGGACGTGGCTGTACCTAGGCAGGGCCATCCTGGATGTCTTTCTGCTTTGTGTTTCTGAAGTCAGGAGCAGAGGGGAAGCCAGGGCAGGAGTGTTCTGGGCAGCATCCCAGACATGGTCCAAGAGCTGCTGGATTTTGCTGTCAGAGGTGGTGCCAGCGGCAGCAGTGGAGCGGGCATGAGAAGGCAGCAGTGGCCTGGGAGCGATCCTGGGAGGAGCAGGCAGCACTCATCTTCTCAAGTCAGCCTTGCTGCAGGGGACCTAGCAGCTTGATCCCCCGGCCCTTGGCTTGGGGCTCACCTAGCAGCACTGGTTAAACAAGGCACAGGAGAGCAAGCTCTGACACCCTATCTTCTGGAAGGTCTTCGCCAGTGGTGGGTTGAAATAGTTCTGTTTCTCATGCTTTTGCTCTGCCAGAACTGCCGTATTTTTACTTCATCTCATTGCCCAGGAAGATCAAGCCCCAGCCTGTTTGGGACTGTACAGGCATGAAGCAAAGGGCAGAGGAAACAGACAGCAGTGTGGTCTGGTCTATAAATTGCCTTGAGATGAATTCTTGCTCTTTAGCCCACTACGTGATCCTCAGCATTAATTCTAGTCACCACCATCTCCTTCATTTTCTATCCTTCACCCAGCTTAGCCGTTGAGGCTATGGCTGTGTTTAGAAAGGGAACCGTTTGTTACAGTGTGTTTGGACATGGCCAAACTCAACAAGGCCCTTGGGGCCAAGCTCAGCGAGGCCCCGGTCTCAGGTGGTCACTGTGCTTATATGAACGCTGACTGGGAAAAGGAGCAGCCCCAAGCGCTGCAGAGGCAAAAGTGCCATGGAGTGGGGACAGTCAGCGCTGGCCGTTGCATTGCTTGCAAGGCTGAAGCTGCCGTGTGGGATGAGGGAGCGCGGTGGTTTTGTGGTGTGGCAGATGGATGCTTGTGCCTGGTGTGGTGCCGGCTGGGTCGGCTCAGGTGCCTGTGCGCACACGTTAGGTATGCGGGGTGGAATTTGGAGGGTAAATATTGAAGCGGCATTGTCTGAAAACAACCCTGTTTTGAAGCTTGCTCGCAAGCACAGACAGCTCCCATCTAAGCTGCATCCTAATCCCTCCAGCAGCTTTGTTTGGCATTTCTATTGTGGGGCCGTCCTCAGAAATGTAAACTTGCTATTAATGACCTTTTTTATTTTAAATTTAGGTGAAAAACCTGACAACAAATGGAAGACTGGGGCCTTGGTCCCCATGGCAACTGTGTGAGCATTCAGATGGGGACAGCACGGGCTCCTGCATGTGTAGGTCACGTTCGTGTGACAGCCCTCGTCCTCGCTGTGGAGGTCGCGGCTGTGAAGGGGCCAGGATCGAGGTCGCAAACTGCTCAAGGTACCTCAGCATCTTTGTGCTTTTTGGGAAGGCAACCAGAGTTGTGCCTGTCCACAGCTTAGCTCCTTGTGTTTCTGTGACCGTGTTATTGTATCCCAGCCACACTGAGGTATGTGTGGTCCAGCTTGAAGTCAGTGAAAAATGAAGGAGCCCAAGGGCTCCGAGAGAAGGGCCTTCAGCCAGGGCTCTTGGAAGATGAGCACCCCGAAGTACACATTAACCTTCTCAATGCCGTGTCTCAGTTTCACTCAACTGTACAGTGAGCGATGACCCATCAGGAGGAGGTGAGTAAGGCAGAGGTAGTTGTTAGTCAACTTGAACAGCAATAAACTAAAAAAATCCAGTAAGCTCATAATTTTTCGGAGTTTGGATTCCGAGGTTGCGTTGCCAAAAGCAAGCAGAGGTCCTTCAGAGCAACACTTGTAGCTCCGAGCAAGGCTTGTTTGCCTTGTTCTGTGAGTCTGCAAACTGTCTGCAGCACGCTGGTTCGGTGAAAGCAACAGATCATCGTACGGCAGCGAGCGGCGCTTAGGAGGCATGCCTGCTGGGGACAGTACTTAATGCAGGTAGCTCAGCTTGTGTAGAAGTAAGTGCTGCCTTTCCAGCAAAGCCTGAAGCTCATGCTTGAGCAGTATGGAAGCTAAATGTCCTCCAGTCGGGTGTCCAAACATAGCCACAGTGTTTGTGTCCACGTTACCCCACCGCTCTCAGACTGTATCATATCATGACTCAAGGAAAGACGATGCAATAGTGTTAGCACTACTTAACCAGGGTGGGGCCAGCCAGTATTTTGGTAAATATTGGGTCAATACAGTTTTTATCTACTTTATCTTCTCCACAAACATTCATTCCATTAAGGACAGCTGTCTCTTGACTCGTCCCTGGAGATCAGTGCTGGTCTTGGCACCAAAAATTCAGCAATACTCATGTTTGAACTGGCATCTCTCCTTCCAGTTGCGGGCTGTGCTGCCCAAAAGGCGTGCAGTCATTCCTGCCCCTCTGCTGCCACCGTGGGCTGAGCAGAGCCTTCCCAGGCAGGCTTTTTATGTCAGTGGCAAATGGAAAGCATGCCAGTGGGATGGGTTTCTCAGCACTGCTCTGATGGCAAAAGAGGCAGGAACAGCTTCTAAGAAGGGGATGAAAAATAGATTATTCACTCTTAAGACATAGGAAAACAGCATGGTTTGAAAAATAGGGACATCTGGTCATCCTACATCCGCCTCAGCCCTCAAATTTCCTTTAATTGACTTCATATGGCATTGAGATTTCTTTTTTGCAAAGAGGGAGCAGGATGCTTAAGGATGAGTTCTTTAGAAAGCTGGAGATCTGAAAATGAAAGGTGTCTTTATTTCTGTTAAAAATCCTGAAGCGCAAATAGATGCTGAGAATTGTTGGGGGGTTGAGGTATTTTTAGTAGAAATTACTTTCCCACTTTTGCTGCAACAACAGCAACCTTCCATTTGATTTCTTCTTCCTGTGATATTACGTATAAACTTTCTTTCAGGTTAAGGAGCGGGGAGTAGTAGGTGGGTTAGAACATGGCAGAATAAGATGGAATCATAGGATTTTTATAGGAATTACTTGTTCTTTGACCTTGTTTGGGGTGGGAGAGAGGAAGAGAAGGAAGGAGGGGGATGAGAGAACAAGAGGAGGAGGGGAGAAATATCTAATACGGTTCTGAGATAAAGCTGCCAAGAACAGGCAAGAGTTGATAACAAATACAAAAACTGTGAAGGGCAATGTGGGTTTTAACTTTCATCCTCTGCCCTGATTGGTGCTATGCCAGAAAATATTTCTTGCCAGCAGTGTTATTAGTTCAGTAAATGCTTTGAAAATTAACATCTGTTTTCAAGCTTAGCTTTCAAGAACCAGAGAGCACCTGAGTTGTTTTTTTGACTAGGCTTTTTAGAAAGGTTTTTCTTTACAAAAAAAAAAAAACCAAAACAAATGAGATTTTTTGGCTTAAGGCAGTGAAGTGTCAAGATTAGGCAGTTCTGTAAGACAGAGCATTGCCACTGGCTCCATACAAAATGAAACCTGCAGCACAGAAGAGATGAGATACAGTTCCTCCTCTCCTGCTCCAAGGTTCACTAGTGCTGCCAAATCAGAGGAAGGTGAGCTTTAATAAATGCAAGATTTTAAAGATTACGATGTTTGCTTCTGTGTAAGCACGCGGTTGAGTTACAGCATGGCAGCCGTGTCTCAGGAGCCGGCCGCCTGCATGTGCTCAGCCTGTCGCAGGAGTGAGGCACAGAGCATCATCTCTGCCGCTGAGGTGTGAACTAGGGGGTTTTACATCACATTTGCTTCAGGCTAAGGTACCACTGCTCAGCAGAGATGTGATCACTCATTAAACCGTGAAACTCCGATCCTGCCTCTGAGCTCTTAATTGCCTTCTGGATTCTACAGATTTAAGGTCACACTACAGTGACGTCTGCAGGTGGCCATGAAAGCTAGAAGCAATTATTGTTACTTTTAATGAAATTTGAGATTTCCACTTAATAGGATTCAATGCTGAAGGCTTTAGGAAAGCACCAAATATTATGAGGGTTGTGATAAAACTGTGGGAGCTGGCAGTAGTAATGCTGTAAGAGATTTAAAGCACCAGTACCTACTGAATTAGCAGAGGGTCAGTTTTTTTACATCCTTTGGCACAACTAGCATTGGTGAGCCTCAAAACCTGCACTGTTTGTGCAGAAGAGTCCAGGAGATACAACTTTGGGATCAGTCATTGGCTCAGAAAAGGTAGGTTATGAGACGTGGAGGAGAAGATGGGGGAATAGTCAGTGAGAGTTATAGCAACCACACTGTTGCCCAGCAAATCCTAGGAGGCATTTTCAAAACCATTCAGTATTGGCTTCATTCTTTTCCTTTCCAGTTCTTAGAGACTTCAATGGGAGGAAAGTTAGGCCAATGCTAAGCACTTTCGAAACTCCCTTTTCTAGGTCTCTGCTGATGTAAAGTCTTATTGGAATGAATAATCTCTTCTCCAATGAGTTCAGTGATTCCCCCATTAGAACCTTACGTGTTTTGTTGTCAAGCACAGCATGATGTGGGCAGATCATCAGGTAACCTGTTCTCTCTCACCCCCTTTGTTAGAAATGGCGCTTGGACACCCTGGTCTTCCTGGGCTCCGTGTAGCACCTCCTGCGGGATAGGCTTCCAGGTCCGCCAGCGATCCTGCAGCAACCCTGCTCCACGGTATGGGGGTAGGGTCTGCGTTGGACAGAGCAGGGAAGAAAGGTAAGAGATGTTCATGTTGCTGGGTGTTCACTTCTGTGGTTATAATGTTGGCAACTGGAAGTGGTGGCTCTTCTATGAAAGCGAATAATTAAGGCTGTTTGTCTGCACAAAATGCACTAAGCGGAAGGAATTCCAGAGCCTGGAAGGGATGAGGTTGCTCACTTGCATGGCCACTCTTTTTCAATGAGCCTGTGACCATGAGGGACTTCAGAGCTGCCTTCCCTCTCAGGCAGGACCCTTCAGACGTTCACAAGCATTCCTGTACCCCCATCAGAGGGCCAACCTCCTCAGCAAAAGGAGAAGCTGTGCCTGCTGTTAGCTGTATAGAGTTCATAGATCCAGTTGCACTGCTCTGATCCATCCCTGAGGAGGCAGTTGAATATGTGCAGCTTTCATTGCCAGTTGCACCGTTCCTAAGTCTGTATTAATTATGCTGATGCACCAAAAGAAGTTCAAGACAGAATACAGTTTAACTCACAGATTCAGGGTTGAGCTTTTGCAGGGCTTTACATCAGAAAAACATCTCTTTTTTTTTTTTTTTTTTCCCTCTAAGCTAAGCAAATTTCATGCAAAATCACTAAAAGACAATACTTTTTGAACCTACAGAGCCATCTGCAAGATTACATTTCTTCAAGCCCAGCCCCTCATTAAACACATGCTTCAGGGCATCCCAATTTAGTTTCCAGATTTGACATTTCATTAAAGGCCACCTCTGCTTGGCAGTAGGCTGTGGTCACTTAAGACAGATCTCTCTGCATTTCTCAGAATACAAAGGGCAATTCATTTAACTTCCTTGATTCAGGACATTTTAATGTTTAGTTTGATTTGTGGCCATTCAGAGTGGTCTTTTTTGGGTTTTAAATACTACATCTGAGTCAACTGCAGTGCTGTGTGATTCAATTTGAGAACAATATTGATTAAAAAGCTGAAAAAAATTTAAGTTACCTTTTGAAAAGGGAACATGAAATAACATTAATTGAGGGCCTGCTTTTAGGTGCATATGGCATCTAGTTCAGCTCCAGCTGCAAACACTAGTTTTTTAGGGTCCAAGCAGCAGTAAGGGCCAGATCATGTGAAGAGAAGTTTGTCAAGTGTTTAGCACCTGCCATTAGTGACAGATCACTGTTGAGGTGACCTCCCATTAGTCATCCCATCGAAAATATTTACCATCCACTTTCTCTATGACACATGGGCTTCAGTTTATGAGCGCTTTGGGGAATTCAGTGCATAAAAGTTATGAGCTTAGAGGACTTTGAAAAACCTGATCTTGACCATTTATTCCGACTGTCTTGGTGAGCTCAGCCTGGTTAACCACTCCGCATTCTGTACAAAGAGTACAGTTCTCCACCATGAACAGGAATATTGCTAATCTGACTGTTGTGTCAGCCTTCTGCTGGCTTTTTGTGCATGCATGAATTGCACCCAAATGCAGCATGCAGTCTTGTATCCATCACCATTTTGTCCCTCAGATGTGCTGACATGGATGTTTTTTGAGCAATGCACTTTCTTCTTTCAGATTCTGTAATGAGAACAGTCCATGTCCATTACCAATTTTTTGGTCTTCATGGGGTCCTTGGAATAAATGTAGTGTGAATTGTGGTGGAGGGATTCATTCAAGGCAGAGGTCCTGTGAAAATGGAAATACGTGTCCAGGCTGTGCTGTGGTACGTATTGTTTATTGACGTTGTGTAAGGGGCTCCTATTGATGTCTAGTATCTAGGGTCTTGGTATTTAACTCCTCTCTCCATCTTGCTTTTATTTCTCAAGCTAAAAGAAAATTATATCCTCAGCTTTTGCTGGAGAGGATGCTGAAATGAACTGGGAAGCAGAGAGGTGGTAGATTCCCAAAGTCAATGCAGTTGGTGTGAGGGTGTATGTCAGAGAGGGTATGTGCACACACACACGCAGATGAGGACAAACTGGTATACAGAGGACTTCCTTTAGGCCTCTGTAAGCTTAGGTAGCAAGTCCTTTACCTGAAAGTACTATACATTTTTTTTCTTCTGCCCCACTCCCAAGGATGATCCTACTGAGTCAAAGAGGCCCTACGTGCATCAGAAATGAGTCTCACTGTCATACTTCAGTAAACAACAGGTCAAACATCTAGTTAACCTATCAGAGAGGCAATGGCTACCCATTTTCTCTCTTTATTGTCCCTTTCCTATTCTGGCAGTTGTTTCATGCAGCTGTTTTAATTAGTTTTATGAAGGGTTTTCTTTTAGTGTAAGCAGATTTGATCTGGAACCTCCCATCTGTTCACAAGCTGTTTGGCATTTACTCTAGAATCATAAAGTCCTGAAGCATTACATTTCTTTCCCTCTGCCAGAAAAGACTGGTTTATTTATTTATTTTTAAACAAGAATGCAATGTTTGTCACTGGAATTCCTTCCACTAGCAGCGAGAATTGTAAAGACCCCAAATCACCCCCATCCTCATCCAACCAGAATGTTGTCTGTACTCAATGGATCCTCTACGCCAAGAATGGCAAAGGGTTCATAGCCCTCACTAGACAGTTCAAAAAGCCAACCAAACAAAAATAGCTGTAAAAAAGAGATAATCTAAACCCATCTTAAAAATAAAACAATAAACTTTTCCAGGAATAAACCTTACTGACATTTTGTCCTCATGGGGCTCCTCTAGGCTGACCTAAGAGCAGCATCTCAGGTCACAGCAGAAACTTGTTTGCTGTTATTATTACCTATTGCCTGAATTATTCTCTTGCCCATAATGTCAGGACAAGGGGTAATGGTTTTAAACCAAAACAGGGTAGGTTTAGACTGGATATAAGGAAGAAATTCTTTACAATGAGGGTGGTGAAACACTGGAACAGGTTGCCCAGAGAGGTAGTGGAGGCCCCATCCCTGGAAACATTCAAGGATAGGTTGGACAGGACTCTGAGCAACCTGATCTAGTTAGCTGTGTCCCTGCTCACTGTAGGGGGGTTGGACTGGATGACCTCTAAAGGTCCCTTCCAACCCAAAACATTCTATGATTCTATGATTCTATGTACCAAGCTTTCAAAACCCCACAGGACTTTGAGTCAGCAAAGAAACGCAAACCTGAGGGAGACATAAAAATGGCAAATATAGTTCACCCTTGAGGTCCACCTGAAGCTATGCAACACCACTGCCTCCGTAGTCACCACATTTTGTGTGGCACTGGCTTATGTCTGTAAGGTCAGGTAAGGTGGATGGAGGTTGTTTTAGATGCAGAGGGTACCTACCCTCTTATTTTCAGGGGTGTAAACAAATCTCTGGCAGTTAGGCTGCTGATGTTCAACAAGTAAGGAGAGAGTGGGTTTCCTTCTCGGCAGGAATATAAGACCTGCAACCCAGAGAGCTGCCCGGAGGTGCGCAGGAACACACCCTGGACCCCTTGGATGCCTGTCAACATCACCCAGAATGGTGCCCGCCAGGAGCAGCGCTTTCGCTACACGTGTCGTGCCCAGCTGTCCGATCCCCATGAGCTGCAGTTTGGGAGGAAGAAGACCGAGAGTCGATTCTGCCCCAATGATGGCTCAGCAGTGTGTGATACTGACTGTACGTCTTGCCAGCTCTGGGCTTGTTTGCTGTTATTATTACCTATTGCCTGAATTATTCTCTTGCCCATAATGTCAGGACAAGGGGTAATGGTTTTAAACTAAAACAGGGTAGGTTTAGACTGGATATAAGGAAGAAATTCTTTACAATGAGGGTGGTGAAACACTGGAACAGGTTGCCCAGAGAGGTAGTGGAGGCCCCATCCCTGGAAACATTCAAGGATAGGTTGGACAGGACTCTGAGCAACCTGATCTAGTTAGCTGTGTCCCTGCTCACTGTAGGGGGGTTGGACTGGATGACCTCTAAAGGTCCCTTCCAACCCAAAACATTCTATGATTCTATGTACCAAGCTTTCAAAACCCCACAGGACTTTGAGTCAGCAAAGAAACGCAAACCTGAGGGAGACATAAAAATGGCAAATATAGTTCACCCTTGAGGTCCACCTGAAGCTATGCAACACCACTGCCTCCGTAGTCACCACATTTTGTGTGGCACTGGCTTATGTCTGTAAGGTCAGGTAAGGTGGATGGAGGTTGTTTTAGATGCAGAGGGTACCTACCCTCTTATTTTCAGGGGTGTAAACAAATCTCTGGCAGTTAGGCTGCTGATGTTCAACAAGTAAGGAGAGAGTGGGTTTCCTTCTCGGCAGGAATATAAGACCTGCAACCCAGAGAGCTGCCCGGAGGTGCGCAGGAACACACCCTGGACCCCTTGGATGCCTGTCAACATCACCCAGAATGGTGCCCGCCAGGAGCAGCGCTTTCGCTACACGTGTCGTGCCCAGCTGTCCGATCCCCATGAGCTGCAGTTTGGGAGGAAGAAGACCGAGAGTCGATTCTGCCCCAATGATGGCTCAGCAGTGTGTGATACTGACTGTACGTCTTGCCAGCTCTGGGAAACCATAGGGCAAGCCTAGATTTGGTGGTGGAAGGGGGATCCTCTCAGAACAACCAGAACCTGATTGTGTCTGCATAAATCTCGACATGTATGCCCAGTATCACTGAAAAATGGCAGGGGTGGAGAGAGGCCCATGACTTTAGAATTCAACACAGTTGTGAGCTCTGTGCTTATGGCAGTGTATAGATTTGTTCTTCCTACTGCCAGGCTGCCCCAAAGAGAACAGGCAAGTAATGAGGGTGTAGAGAAGAAGAGCCATTCTACCCGACAGCGTGTCTTTACTCTTCTTTTCTCTGGAGGTCCCCTTCTGCATTGCCTCTGGGGTTATGCCCTTCACTACTGTTGTGATGCAAGGCAGTGTCCTGAGGGCACAGCCTCAACTGCCACAATTTGCTGCCCAGAAAGGTAATTTATCAAGGATATCAGTAGACTCAGTTTGTGTGTGTACAGATTTCATTTTGTGTCTAGCTTAGCTGTAGCCCTGTGGAACAAAACTCTTGCTAAGGGCTTTCAACAGAAACTCTTCCCCAGGGCACATAAATCCTGTTTCTATTCATGAGCTGAAGCCCTTTTTAAAAGCCCAACAACTGACTAATTTGTGATTATGTGGTGTCTTGTTTGTTTTCCTTGAAGCTCTTGTTGATGACCTCCTCAAGACTGGTAAGACCTCTGCACGGATTATCAATGGGGGCTGGTCCTTTTGGGGGGCCTGGTCTTCCTGTTCCAGGGACTGTGAGTTGGGCTTTAGGATCAGGAAGAGAACATGCACAAACCCTGAACCTAAAAATGGTGGCTTGCCCTGCGTGGGGTCAGCGATGGAGTACCAAGACTGCAACCTGCATCCCTGCCCAGGTAACCACGATCATCTTCCTGCATGAAATTCAGAGGTGTTCTTCCCCATCTTAACGGTAGAGCCACAAAAAAAGATATCAGTATTTCCAAGCTGCCTTTTTTTTTTTTTTAATTAATTTGGGGGATTTTTTCTTGATTTTTTTTTTTTTTAAAGCTATTGTAATGACCCATGTGTGTCATCCTTAGTGCTATGACTTATGTTTCACCTAGGCTCAGAGGGCTATACGGCTGCATCCTCTAGAGGAAGTAGTATTGTGGCTTGTCAAGCAACTTTTTGCTTCAGGAAGGTTTGATGCTCCATCCAGTGGAGGGCATTGCGGTGCATTCTGCACCAAGTTGAGGAGATGGGCTTAATAAATGTGGCTTAATACTGTGTAGAGATGCTTGATGTGGCGGTTCTTCTTGTGAACACTTGTTTCTTCCCCCTCTCCTGCTTACGTATTGTTCTTGCGATGGGCATCTACTCTTGACATCAGTTACCATTTCCTGCACAGCCAGCAGGGAGTATTCTTGCCTGGTTTCCTGGTTTTCGAGTTTGTCCTCATGTTTATGTTGCACTCCTGGTCCAGAATAGTAATAATAGGCCATTGACTACTGTATTCTCTCTCACTTATCCTCCTTGCTCTGTAATAACTATCTAAACTAAATTTAAGTGTTCTTACACAAATTGCCTTGCCTCTTTGCAGTTCAAGCAATTATCTACCTCTGGTGATATAGTTTGTGGCCTACACTTGAAAATGCCGCATTCCAATAGTATTATTATGACTCTAAAATTCAATACAAAGATAAAATTCCAATGCAGATAGGAAAATATGATCAGAATGTGCAGCAAGAGCGTAGCAGGAGTGTCAAATATTGCACTCTATGGCCTATAAAAAGAAAATAACTCTAGCACTATAAAGGCAGCTATTAGTACTATTTTGGAAGCTCTCAGTGGCTTTTCACTAGTGTCTGTGCCCTTCTTCTGTGCTGTTTTCTCCCCTTGGACACTATGATGTTTTACAATCTGTTCTGAGTGCATGATTACTATTTCTCTGTGTCTCCCTCCTTCCTGCCTCACTCAATATATATACACAAATCCTGGGTTTATCTTGCACTAAGTCATCAGGTTATTATCTTCTGAAATAATGGCATGTGGACCTGCAAATCACACAATCTAGTAGCCTGGCAAGGGGGGGTGGGAATCAGGGATCTTAAGTCCCTCCCTAATTTTACTGTTAACATGTGGGGCTATGCTCAGATAAAGCCTCTGAGTTTCTGTTCCCTGAAGGTTGGAACTAGAGGACTCGGAACCCTGAAAGAAAGGTGCCATATAAGCTCCACTTAGGTTGTGCAGCACTGTTTTCCTAAATAAATCTGCTGTTGCTATAGGTGAAGCATCAGGCAACAATATAATAATGACAATGCTGTTTTATAAAAAGGTGTAGAATAGCGTAGCATAGCATAGCATAGAATAGAACAGACTGTTTTGGTGACTACCCTAAAGAATAGTTTCTATTTTGGCACTTTATGATGCAGAGTCTTTTTGTGAATAGACTTCATTCTGCATCTGCAGAGTGCAGCACATTCGTACCCTCTCTTGATACGAAGTTCTTGTTGTCAGGCCCAAAAGTCCCGGGGTGCAAGAAAGTGCTAGCTGGTCTGGGCAGGGTGGATCTGGAAGGTGAGATGTTGGGGTTCTCCAGCTTTGTCACAGTGAGGAGATTAACCAACGACTTCTACCTCTCTCTCCTTGCTTTTCAATGCCCTTCAGTGAAAGGCTCATGGTCTTGCTGGACTCCTTGGTCTCACTGCTCAGCAACCTGTGGAGGAGGACACTACCAGCGCACGCGGACTTGCACCAATCCAGCTCCGTCTAGCGGAGAGGATATCTGCATTGGTCTGCACACTGAGGAGGCCCTTTGCAACACACACCCATGTGAAGGTAGCCAGTTCTTGTCCCTGCTCCACCTGGCTTGGGTGGTGGTGTGAGCAAGGCACATCTGCAAAATGTTTAAAAAATAAATCAGAAGCACCACCAGTTAGATGCTTTTCTGTCCATTCAGTCAATATCTATTGAGCCAGGGAAAAAGGAGACACCCCAGTGTTCAACTGCAGTGCATCACCTTGCTCTTTACCTGTTCACCAGCCCATGCTCTGGCATTCTGGTGCCGGACAGGCAAAATCCTGTTAACAGCTGATCCATGTAAAGTAATCGAAAAAGCAGGAGTTTCATTCTTCAATGTGGGAGGTTACAAGACAAATAAACGGAGTCATGAAGCATCAATCTGTACAGTTGCTGAAGGGACAATCCTTCCTTTTTCTTACACAGACAGGCAGATGAGCATGTGCTACAACTCAGAGGACAGGATTTAGAGCTGTGCTGGTTTTGAACCGCCTTTGTGTGTTTCTGATCCAGTACAGGCTGACTCCTGCTTAGGAACATCAGCAAAACTCTCTAACTGCTGTAACTTTTGCTGGCTACCCGGGGTATCCCTGGGAGGCCACCTCAAAGCTTGGAGGTCCTGGTGTGACATTGCCCCATCCAGCTCCTTGTATGTCTTTAACCAAAGAGCTGATATGGGAGCTTTTAAGACAACTCCATACTGTGCGGTGCTTCACCAAGGGTTGGTTCAGTCTGTATTAAGAAAACTACAACCTGATAAGTAGGGTATGATGTTTGCATTATTATTTGTATTGAGAAAACTAAATCCACCAAAGGCCCCGGGTTTAGATGTGTGAGAGAGGCCCAGGCCAGGATTTAGACATCCTTCAGCATGGGAGAAGTTTGGTATGTACAAGGGATCCCTTTTCTTCTTGGTGACGTTGTCTGGGTGTTTTTCTGATCTTGGATTTCAGGTGGTTGGTCAGAGTGGTCAGAGTGGAGCCTGTGTAATGAAGAGGGCATCCAGTACCGCAGCCGTTACTGCGAGGTACACAGCCCAGACTCTTCTCAGTGTGTCGGAAACAGCACACAGTACCAAGATTGCCTGTATAATGAAATTCCTGGTATGTACAACATCATGGAGGAGGGAGAGGGTGGGCCATCTCAGGAGAGCAGCTTGTGCCCTTACTGTCAAGCTGGGCTGAGATCTTCCCTACTCTAAACTGGGCTTGGATGCTTCTAGAAAAACAAGCAAACATACACGTTAAAATCTCCCTTGTTGCAGGCACAGGATAACTGGCATTCCTTTAAGGCAGCTTGGCTTTTCTTTAAAACAGAATTACCTAGATCTGTAATAAATAGCTAGTCCTGCTTCGCCTGAATTGAAGCTTTTAACATTGCATAGTTCATCTCAAGCTGGGTTATAAAAATTATCTCTGTTCTCAGTATGGATATGGGCAACAGAAGGTCCTTGAGTTCAGGTATCAAAAGAAGCATCCCCAAAAGAGTGAAGAAATAAGGTGAGGCAGATGGAGAAAATTGGCATGTGAAGTGGAGAGATTAATCAAGGGTCTAACAGAGCACCAGCGTTGATGGACAGATGGTCATCAACACCTTCCACCCTGTATTTTGTGGAAATTGAATCTCTCAGGCAAATATTTGATATGGGTCCAGACAGAATAAGCCCTTTCCATGCGTTCTTTTCTGGATTATGGTGTCCTGACTTAAAAATCTGACATCTCTAGGCAATGGTACTCTTCTTTTTCACAGTTTTCTCAGCTGTCTTCTTTCCCCTAAATTGAAGAAGCTAAACAGTGATCAGGTAACAGTACTGGAATTGTCGGGCCTTTGGACAGGTTTTGTTGCATGTGTTTCACACTCTAAGCTTATCATTCAATTTAGAGAGACTCTCAGCTTGCTGCAGAACACGTGAGCAGCTTTTCATGTCTGGAGCACAGGGGGTTTAATTACTTAAAGAATGAAAGTGATGGCAAAATGACAACTTTTTCCAATCTTCTTCTCTTTGTTTAGTGATCCTGCCAGCCTCCAGCATTGATGAGAGCACGAACTGTGGAGGTAGGGTACCACTAACTATATATCTTATTTTTATCTTAACCTGGCTTCTTTTCTCCCTGTGCAGTATCAACCAAACCATTAATCTATACAGCTCATATCCCACTGATAGCCTTAATTCCACTGGAGTCTTGCTGTCTGAGTCAGACTGGAGGAATGTATCGCATGTCCACTTGTCAGTTCCAAGATTTTTATTTATTTCAGGGTTTGGGTTGGTCATTGAGGGTCATTAATTACCAAGGAGCACATTGCTTGTCTCTCTGTATCCACAGGGTAAATGGTTGAGGAGAAAGGAAGGGATATTCCTCATTCCACCACTGTAAGCCTCCAGCTGTTTGGAGGCAGGTGTTTTTAAATAACCTATAAAGATTTCAGTTAACAGGGCCTCTTAGACACATCTTTTGCTGATATAGGATGAGATTAGGGTTTATACTTGTCCTCCAAGCACTTCCTTTCATTCAAGTCCTCACCTCTCACAGAAGTTGTGTCTCCTTTCTGCATGTAACTTAGAAAGATTCAGTCATTAGTGTCACTTTTCCATTGCCCTAGGAGCCCCTATGATAAAAATGCAGACTGAAGAAAATGGCAGGTTCCTTCGACATTTTAAAATGCTAGTTTCACGCTAATGACCATGTCAGCTCCTGCTAGCATCACATCCCTGCTTTCCTGAAATCTAGATGATCTGCAGGCTGCCAAAATCTCTTCTCCCTGTGGAGATCATGGCAAAAAAAGGTATGCCACCTGTGGCACGGAAATGTGGCCTCTCGGTTTGTGACTGTGGGGCAATCAATGGAATTAAGATTTCAGCACCTGCAATGTACCAGTTGGCTTTCTGCGTCACTCCTTCTCCCTCAGAGGGTGCAATGTATCTGCTTCAGTTCCAGGACTCCTTGCTACAGCTTGCACTCTGCTGTTGTGCACTGTATCCACATTTCCTTCTTTTACCACCAGCACTGCATTTGCTGTTGCAATCTACGTTTTACCATAGCTAATATTATTTATTACTTAGTGTTCTACGATATTTGGCAAAGAAGCTAATCAATAGAAATTCTGTTTGATGCGGCTCAAAAAATCTATATTTTCAGAGTGATGAACCAGAAAGCTTCCCTCCTGGGGACTCACATGCTGCAAACAAAATAATTTGCTTTGTCCCTAAGATGTGGCTAAAAGTCATCTGAAAAATCAGATGGGTCTATCAAAGGTGAGAGGAAAATGTAAGAGAGCTTTATGTTTTAGAAAGGATTTCCTACTGTAGTGAATTGGTAAATGGAACAGTGAAATGAAACATTCACTGTAAGATAAGCAAAGCTGGGCAGGAGGGGAATGTGGCAGAGTGTCATGTGGCTTCACTGAAGACGATTGCATGTTCTGTGTTTTACCTCTCATGAGTGACATAAAGCAGGCAGAGGTTTTTAGAAAGGAAATGTCTTTTTGGAAAAGTCTTGTAACATTTAGCAGGAAATTATCATCTTTCTGCTGGTTTTTTGGACCATCATCCAAAACACAATAGAAAGTGGTAATCTTGCAATAGAATTTTATAGTATGGTTTAAAAAATAAATGTAGCTTGTCAGTCTAATAAATTCTGTATGTTCCTTACTGTAATTATGATTGAAGTGCATTACTTTGCTGTAGAACTCTATTGGTTTTGTTCTTTTTAAACTCAGGAGGATATTTTTTAACTAAAGATTAGAGGAGAGCAGTAGACTAATGGGCAGAATTCTCTATTTGAAAAGCATATCAGTTAAAATGTAAGATGGCACCAAAAAATGCACGCCGTGATCAGACTAAGAATGAACCTCGTTTAAAGCCACCCTGAGTAGTCCCTTCCATTTCTCTGCACACAGTCAAGTCAACACAGCAGTCTGTCCAAATGAATCGGCTTTTTAAGTGTTACGGGAATTTTACCGCTGCAGTCCCCACGAAGCCGATGTGGCATCCCTTGGGACAGCTGCCCTGGGGGAAGCAGTCAGGGTCATCCCCCCCCCAGGTACTAGGGCCCCTGTTACTTTTCTTTGAAAGATGACAGAGCACAGGCAGAGGAAAAGCAGTAGCATTTGGAGCTATCACCGCTGATTCTTTTTCTGTAGAGCCCCCCCACACACATAGCAAAAGACCACAGGGTCATAAAGTTTTGCCGCCCAAGATTGCTTCTAGTTGCTTCGTTAACTCGGTGGCTGTAAAGGTCGCTTCTGTTTGTTCTGTTCTCAGTGGAGATCTGTTGGTGGCTGGTTTTACCATGGGGTTTGAGAGTCCCTGAGGTGAGGGAGGAAGGAGGAGTACCACTTGACTTTGTCTTCCCTCCTTCAGCCCCCCACCCCAGTCGTAAGTACCTCCCAGTGCGTGGGACACACAACTACAGCTCCTTCCAGAGGTCAGTGCTGGGCTTGGAGGGTGCGGCTGCAATCCCACATGGAGAGATCTCTGTAGGAGGCTTTTATAGTCCAAGAGCTTTTCTTTTTGAAATATTTGCACTGAAGCTACCCTACCAGCACCTGCCTGCAGCTGGCTTCTTATCTTTTCAATTTGTGGAGAAAGCCAACAATGGAGTGTTTTTCAAGCAGTTCCCCCCTTCCCTTTTTCCACCTTTTCCCACCACCTTTCCACCACCTTTCCACCACCTTTCCACCACCTTTCCACCTTTTTCCTCCCATTCCCCTGAGGACCCCTGTCTCACTGGTAGCCGTACAAATACGCCTCAGAGGTAGCACAGACATGGCCAAGGCAATGCCACCCCGTGAATAAGCAAGAATGCTGAGCACACTTGGATTACATGGGGGAGGAATGTGTATCTCCCCCACCCCACACACAGTCCCACAGGCATTTTGGGCAGCCGACAAAAAAGGGCTTTCCTCTCCCTTCCTTCCCCTTTAGAGAAACACTGAGCATTTTTATCCCCTTATTTCCATGACACGCACATGCTTTGGAATCCATTAATGTGCATTGTTTGTACGGCTCATTTCTTTAGCTGTCAGCTTAACATAATGTTTAGTTTCAATATCAATAGAGGGGAGAGAGGAGAGACAGGGAGGGAGCTTTGAGAAAACAATGCATGAACCTGTTAAACTGCACAAGGCAGAGCTGCAGTGGGGAGACTGATTTGCAGGGAGATTATGTCAGTTTATGTTAGAACGTAAGACTCTGGCTTCAACAGCTTATTAATGTTGATCCCGAGATGTCATAGCTCTGATTTGCACCTGTGGTCTTGTCGGGAAAGGGAAAAAGGCTTCTTTAAAAATAGCTTCTATTGTCATTTCCCTTGCAGGTTTTAGTCTCATCCATCTGATTGCCACTGGGGTCTCCTGTTTCTTCGGCTCTAGCCTCTTAACGTTTGTGATTTACGTGTACTGCCAGCGCTGTCAGAGGCAGTCCCAGGAGTCGACTGTTATCCACCCAACCACTCCCAACCATCTCCATTACAAGGGCAACACAACCCCCAAGAATGAGAAGTACACCCCCATGGAGTTCAAGGTAGGGAACTTGATGAGAAATACCACAAGCAGCTTGATACTACCAGAACAAATTCTGTATTTATGTCATGGTTGGAATTGGGTAGATTTGTGGTTTGGTGCCCAGCTGTTGGTATTACATGTGGGGTTGAAGGGGCATTTAGCCATACTGTCACAAAGGGGTTACAAAGTCCCATTACTGCAATGGGATTTTGTTCCGTTTCACAGACCTGATGAATGCCAGTTTGGCAAGTGCATACCAAGACACTCCAGCCTATTCTGACTATTATATGCATACAAATTGTCCTCTAAGAAATCAGTAAGAGCTCAGTTCAGTGCATTGTTAGTGCATGGTAAGAGGAAACGGAGGGGAGGAAGAATAAAAATGGAAACTTCATTAGACAAATAGCTGGGAAAATACTTACTGGGAGGATGAGATTCTGGAAATGCCTTGGGAACTGCCAAATTGGAGAGAATGAGAAAACAGAGAGGGTTGTGCCCCCTCTATCAGTACTGGACAGAACTTACCCCAGGCATCCATGCAGAATTCGGTGATAGCAACAGAACTGGGAGTTGAAGCCTTAGGAGAAGATGAATGTTGAGGTGGCATACTCTGTTGGCATGTCTGCTTGCTAAAGAGAACAGCCATTGTCTGAGCGGGTAGGGCTAAGGGTGCAAGACACAATATGCTGAGACAGTAGCGCATCGTTGTATTTGAGCATCGGTCTCCAGGTGAAGTGTGGGCTCAGAGGAGTGAGCAGTGGGATGGGTGAAGGGGCTTGAAGTCACCGTGAGGAAAAGCCTCCCTAAGGTCACTTGAACAGTGTGTTGCATTATCTGGGACATGACCACAAACCAGAAGGAAACCCTGCAGCTGCTTGCTCCTTCATATAGCCATGTGCTGTTGACATTTTGATTGTCTGCTTCTGCTGATCTGGCCCAGCTTCTGACTGAGACCCGGCAATAAGATCAACAGTGGGACCGTTGCCATAGTCTAAACTCCCTGGGTGTTGGGGACTGTTTCTATGTAGGGATTTTATAATGCTGGGCACAGGACGATTCCTGATACATGGCCATGATTTGCAATGGGAATACGCATCAGAACTAAGAGTTTGCATCAAATCATTTGAAAAGAGTCAATGTGGTTTTGGTGTTCTAAAAGAAAACAGTTTGAGCTGGAAAATAACAGACCAGTTTGGCAATAAGCATGTGCTGAATTCCTTGTGTTGGGCATTGCAGTCCCTCAGAGGATCCCACTGCCTATAAATGCGGTCTCAAAAATACATTTCCTAGCAGCATAAGGCTACAGTTGCATACAGTTTAATAAGGGTGCAGCATCATAATGCAAGTCAGCATGGATTTGTGGAAAGTAAATCATGTCAAGCAAATTGGATTCCTTTTTTAAATTAAATAAATATTGATCTAGATAGGAGGGAAGCGGCAGACATATTGGGATTTTCAGAGGCTTTTAACAAAGTTTCACAGGATATATTATTCTACACACTCTGCATATACAGGTTAGGTAATAAATTATTAAGACAGGTAAAGAACTGGGACCTGATCCTGGAAGCTTCAAACTATGAGAGTAATCCTTCCAGTTACATGAGCAGTTGTGGCAAAGTCTATAGGAAGACCCAGATGAGAAAAGTTTGCAGGAATAAACAGATGAGCAAGAGTATCCCCTTGTTTCTTACATAGCAAGTAACGAAGAAAAGAGACAAATATATTTTTGTGGCCAAAATCAGGTACTTACAGGGTTGGCTTTGTGTAAACATTTTCTTCATGATTTATATTGTGCTGTCATATCTTATCAGATGATGCTTAAATAGTAAGAATGGTTAAAATTTAGAAGGATGAAGTTGTTCACAGAACAGTTTTGCTCAATTGGGTAAATGGATTATGAAACGCAGTATGTCTGTGCTGAATGGTGCAGTGGAGTAGAAGTAATAACAAAGCTAAGCAAAGTTTAAAATAGCAGCAGATTACTTAGTGTAGTATCAGGAGGGAGTTGAACTCTTTGATAGATCTGTCTCTGAATACTTGATCTAGTGTACAGTAACAGTGAGCAGCTGTTAGGATCTTCTCTCGAGGGACATAAAGAGCCTAGGCATTAGATCAAGTTTTGAAAAGTCTAGTTTATTTTTAAAAAGACATTAACTAACTGGGGCTATATGAGTTAGGCTGGGGGAAGAAGGGGGTTGGACACAAGGAGACATAGACCAGATGGGGCTTATTTCTAGAATGCTGGGAAGTGAAAGAGTTCAAGAACATAAATCTGCAGTCATTGGACAGACCAAAACTAAACGTTTAGGAGCAAGGGGCTACTTGCCGAGAAGAATTCGAAGTCATACACTTTCAGAGTGGTGAATGAGGCAAAGAGATTAGAAAGGGTGAAATCTATTTATCAAGTGAAGCCCCTTTTCTCTATTCCTGTTAAATATTTTCCTTATGTTCATCTTCTTTATTGGCCCTCCTTTCTTAAACTCTTGCCTGAAAATATATCATTTTATACTACAAATTTCCCACTCCTCAGTGTTCCCTTGAAGAATATAGCATTAGTGCAGTAAGAGGAAGGCTCTGTGTGCTCTGTGCTGTGTAATTACTTACAGAACTTGTTATTAGCCAGCTTTATATTTAGGAATAACTGGCAGATTTTTCTAAGGGTCAGGAGGGAGTTTTTCATGCCTTCAAGGAACATGTGTGGTTTTATTGTGATGCTACACAATTAATGTTCAAATGATGGAGCAGCTAAAATTCACCTTCTGGAAAATGAGGGTTGGGCTGAGCTTGGATATGGGCCCATCTGAATTTAAAATGAGTATGTATGAAAGAAAGTGAAAACACCTGAAATTTTGTATTCTAAACCCAAAGAAGTTTCTGTTCAGCAGATACCAAGAAAACTACCCCCAACAATTTTTAGGTAATGAAAGCAAATGAATCATTGTGGGGAGTGTGTGTATGTGTGTGTGTAAGAGTTAATAAATCCACAATTAAGGAAATACATGGTGTGTAGACTACTTTTCAGTAAGAGAGAATGATAATACACAGTGACATGATGGTAGCAGAAGGCTGAGCATATGCACAAGTCTATTATTTTCCATTCTTTGGTAATAATAAGCCTTCTGCAACCATCTTTAGTTTGTTTTCATCTTGAAATATCTCTGCTCTCCAACCGGCAGGTGAACACAGTAGAAAGTTTGGCAGTGTTACATTCAAATGTAGAGCACTGAATGAAAACTCATAAATCAAGGTGAATTTTATATGAAGGCAGATTTTAATGAAGGAAGTGCTAGCTGATATGAGCCTTGTTGGGCATTTCAGCACAGCAATGCAGTAATGCAGATCAGATGTAAATATCATACATAATGGTGACCTATTGATCACTTAGCTGATGCTAGCTTGCCTAGGCAGTGTTTTGCAGAAGTGTTTTATTTTTGCTGGCTTCTTTTCCCTTCCTGTTTTGCTTTCATAAGAATGTTGTGAGGTTTATTATTAGCTATTTTAGCCATGATGTCTTAAAAGATTTCATGCATATGCATTTACCAGCAGCACGTTGATTTTGATTTGTTATTCACAGATCGTAGGGGAGAGACCTTTGGGGTCACCTAATAAGCAGTTCATGTTTCATTAATTGGTTAAAGTTCATACAGCACTCTGACAATATTGAAGACTGTGCAGAACAAGAGCATAATGAAATAAAAATTATCTGCTCTTCACATTTTGGCATGATGGATTACAGAACCACCTACAACCTTCCCAGTACTGCCACACCGATTAGTTAATAACTGGCTATCAAAGCAGAGAGGAGATCCTCTTTTTTAACATGTTGCTTCAGCTACTCAGTGACTTACTCATTTGAGTTACTTATTAGAGTCGTGCTGATGGAAAGCCAGATGATCCTGCAGTAGAAGTGGGAGGATGTTGGGTCATGGCTGAGCCCTTGTGAATTAGAAGCTCTTGGAACAGCCATACATGGAGAAAGGGTTTGGACTGAACTTCTTCCTATTGCTAAATCCTCTGCCAATAAAGAGAGCCAAGATTTTATTCTACACGGGATTTGGACAGTCAAAGGCCCCTGCACATTGGTCCAAATCCAAAATCCAATGGCCTTTGGATCAGGCCAGATGGGATTAGTGAGAAATGTAAGTTTGCAGGATGGTTATGATGATGATTCTGCAGATTTTCTTGTGCTGGACAGACCTCTCTCTGTCCTTCCTTCCTTAAACACAGCTTTAGTCATGAGTCATGCAGTTAAACTCTTTCTGTACGGATGCCTCAAATAAGCTGAGGAAGCACCTGAGCATTGCATCTGCTCTGGGGCATCGCTGCTGCTCTCGTAGAAGCTAAGGGCCAAACACTGAAGTTGTGCTCAAGCAAAAGAGTAATTTATGTCAATGAGCACATTTATTGTGGGGGAAGATGAGGTGAGAACTGCGTGAGATTGCAGGATATGGCAATGAAAGAGGGAAACTAAATATTTGATGTATCAATCACCTGGTACCTGAAGTTTCTAGGAGGACATCAGAACAATACACATTCGCTTCAGGAGGACTGTAGGGCCTGCACTTGCTTGAAGTTATACAGCAAATATTAATGCCGGTACCAGAAAATGGGGGGAATATTCAGTGGGTCACTTGGGACTCCGTATAAATTAGAAGCTACAATGAATATTTTTTAACAAAGCAAGAACAGTGCTGTTGAGAATCAAATAACAGTGCAGAGCAGACACCCCCTGCAAAGGACTCTGGACACTATGATCCACACTTCATTACTAATCCCAAGTAATTCATGGCAATAAAATACCAACGTGGAAGGTTATGAAAGAGAAACCAATTCTGCCTTTGGAAGAAGAATGCTTCTGGATAAAACAACAGACTGGGTGTTTGGTGTGGCTTTCAACACTGAAAAAAGAAATAAAGCTGAGGGTATAGGAAAGTGGATGCCTGTATGGATTTTAAAAGCCTCTCTCTTGCTGATGGTCATTTTCATTGCCACTGAAAATCACACCTTTTTTATAGCAGG